TATTATTAGTTTAAAAATGGTTAAAACGAACATATTTAGCATTTAAATATGGCCTTTATTTAGTTTTTCATAAAAAAGATGTCTACATTGCACGTGAACATATGCGAACAGAATATTTTGGCCAAAGTGCCACTCATCATGAAACGCAACCTACAAACAGGAAGGAAGTAAACGTCAACTTCACTGAACCACATTCTCGAGCCATGTGAGAAAGCAGTCCCTCTGACGGTCTGTGTGTGACGGTTCAAAAACCCCCACAATGCTGCTGCTGCTGCTGATGATGACGGAATGACCACAAGAAAGCAAACACCATCAGCACCTTAAAGCTACAAGACTGTAAGTGCACTCAACAGGGAACAGGAAGAAACAAGCCTGGCACGGCAAGAGCAATCAGTGTGTTTTCTTGGAAACGATGCTGTACAGTATTAAGGTGTTTGAGTCCTACCTGCAGTCTGTGTGGGAGGGACGGTGATAAAACGGAGGAACTTGCTGTTCGTACTTGGCCTTTGCTGCTTCATTCCCCATAGACGTGATCAACTACAGGAATAGAATGCAATGCATGATTTATAGGCACAATATTAAACAAATAGCTAACACTTTACAATATCTGTTAACATTAGAACTGTGAGATACATCTACCGCATTTATTAAAAGAATAGTTCACCCAAAAATGAACATTTGCTGAAAATGTGCTCACGCTCAGGCCATCCAAGATGTAGATGAGTTTGTTTCTTCATCAGATTTGGAGAAATGTAGCATTGCATCAGTGTCTCAGCAATGAATGCTCTGCAGTGAATGGGTGCCGTCAGAATGAGAGTCCAAACAGCTGATAAAAACATCACAATAATCCACAAGTAGTCCAGCCACATATTTGTTTAGAGCTGTTTTGGCTTGTAAACGGTGCTTGATCTGTGCAGATTTCTCTCCTGATTCAGACCACTTTTTCACTGGAAGAAGCGTTATTATGGATTATGGATTATGGACTTGTATTTTAGTTAAAAATGTCTTAATGATAGATTTGTTTCTTACAAACAAACAGCTTTTGGCTTCTCAAGACATTAACTGATGGACTGGAGTGGATTGTTAGATGACCTGAGGGTGAGCACATTTTCAGCAAATGTTAATTTTTGGGTGAACGATTCCTTTAATCTCAGCAGCGGAAGTCGTCACAGTTCTATAGTGGTGAATGGGAGAATACATCAAATACATTTTTTGTGTTCCCATTTGCTCAAACTGCAAGATCAAAACTCCACAATAGTGTTTAAATATAAAGAGACTGATAACGGCAGTCAGAAGAGAAAATGGTGCCAACTTTACCTTCACTTCCATAGATGCTCGCACACTCGCATTAGCGTTAACTAGTTTTTTGTAATTTGATGCAAAGGTAATATAATGCACACTAAAGCTAAATGTACAAACGATAGTTTAAAAATTAAAATATAAAAAACATAACACTACTTAAAACGTGTAATCACAGTCTGTGAAAAAGGTTCATAGGCACTTTTTAATTTAATGCTCCATTTACTTGATGGCTCTGTTCAGATTATCACAAACATCAGCTCTCTTTGGATTCCCAAGCTTATGTTGAGCCCTAATGGTGTGCATCCTCAATCTTTCAAATAGGCAAAGAGCCAATCAATCTCTGTGGCTCTTGAGATTACTACAGATTTTGGATGGTATTCAGGAGGTCAGAAAAGGCTGGTTTCTGCAATACATCCAGCCCTGGAGCAGGAAACAGCCTTCAGCCAAAAAAACAAACCTGCCTGTGGATCGTCTGTGACTCACCTCGATTTCTTTATCTTCAAATGTGTCCTGCAGCACAGACTTCACCTGCCTGAGGCTTTCGATGCTTCTGTGGATGAGTGAGCATCCCTGACACACGAACACACCCAGCGTCACAGACACCCAATCCGGCTCTGAGGAAGAAAGAAGGAAGAAGATTTATAAATATTTGACGCGCATCCCCAATTTGCATACTTAGAAGAAGTATGAATTGGCTGGTGAAGGGACTGAAGCTCATACTTTCAAGTGTGTTGCAAAAAATATTTTAAGATTTGTGCATTTAATTTGCATTTAAAATATCCATTTACACAGTTTAAACCTAAACTAACTCATTATTTTAAGCATCACATTGCATTGATAATATTAATAATTGCATGAAAAAGAGTCACCAGCAAATGATTTTTTGCACATACAAAAATATGTCTGTGGCGACATTTCTGCAAAATTATATTACATTGCTTTTCACACGTTTCACAACCATTTCAAAGTGAAATGCCAAGGGGGTAGCGCTAAAAGCATGTTCGGCTTTACCCGAAACTGACGAATGTGAATCTGGCAGTGTTACATTACATTGATTGCTGTGTATATATCGTGACAGTTTGGAAATGCAATGCGCTAAAAGGTTAATGCTGTATTGCGTTTGAAAATAACGTAACTAAATCCAACCCTAAACCTAACCAATAGTGTTAATAAAAGCAAACGTGAGATAAAAACACATTTGTTGAAGCAACCATGTAATTTTATCTTGCTTCTACAAGTCTTTGAGCTGTTTTATCGTGACCCGTACCACGATAACTGTACCGGGTGTGCTACCGAGCAAGTTTACTACATCAGAAAAGCCAAATATAAGGAGCTGGTTATGAGATGCAAACATCAAAATGTGTTAGTTTACAAATCATGCACTATGGTAAAACTGTTTTGAGCTCATAACATAGTATTGTGCAAGGAACTGTGCGAAAAACTTGTCCTTATTTGTGTGAAAAGCAATAAATGTTGTTGGTGTATTCCTGCCACTAGTGTTCATTTCATCTTTTGATGAATTGCCTGCATAAGGTACTTTTTTGGAGTTTTGACATTTAACATTTCCTCTTTTCTGTTCTACAGAAGTCGTCATACACGTCTGGAACAGTGAGTAAATGATGACAGAAATTTTATTTTAGCAATTCCTTTAAAATTCATGAGCAATATATTTAAATAGTGCACCTCTGGCAATTTGCACTAGGTTGCACTAATTCTATTCTTGCTTACTATTTCTGATAGTATGCATACTGGCACACAGACAATAAAGTCATTGCTATACCATTTATTTTTATATGTATCTATAGACAGACCTCTTGTGGAGGCAAAACCTCTTTAACAACTGGTTAAAAACAGGGCAGTCTGTGTGTTTCTCTTCCCTTCACAGTTGATGCTGAGGTCTAAGTGGTTTAAAAACTGCATACACACAACAGAGGTTATTTATAACAATAAACCCGTTAGTCTCAGATAAAACGTTAAACGCAAGTGAACCCACAATACGAGGGCGACAGGAAAGTGTGTAATGTCACCCACAACTCACACACACACGCACTCTCTATACACACAGACAACAGCTCAGAGAAACTGTGAGTTTGACACACTTCAGGTGCGAGTGTTGCTAAACGCTGGGAAGTCCTTGAGTTGAACAGCCTGAGACTCACATGGGAGGCAAAGCAGGCATAAACAGAAAGCCAGGTTTTTTGACTTCTTCAAGTGACGCAATCCATGAGAAGCTGTGTCATTCGAGTGTGTGTCTAACACACTCATTGTGCAAAAAAACAGTGAGGTTATTGTTTGAACGAGAAAGAATGTAAAATTAATGTAAAACATTTGGCGCCCTGTTTGCACTTGTGTGATCAGATAAAACGGGGTCTTAGTGTCAGCGGCGTCTGGATGATTTGACGTGTGTGATGGCAGTGCACTGAACGCTCTGACCTTTGCTCATCGAGTGCCAAAGTGACAGGCACCAACAGTGTGCTTCAGCAGAGACTGAGCTGCTGCACGCGCCACGAGAAGCGTCTGTGAAACCATAAAACACGCCAGCTTTCTGAATATAGATCATTGTGTGCTCTATGTGTTGCTCAGTGGCTTCAGTTTTTCTGAGTATGCCATATTTCTGAAAGATTTGATGTCCGTCGTGTATATACAGTGGGTACGGAAAGTATTCAGACCCCCTTAAATTTTTCACTCTTTGTTATATTGCAGCCATTTGCTAATACAGACAAAAAGTGTTTGTAGTGTGTGAGAGCAAGAGAGAAAGTCATCCATCACACTCAATTCAGCCGAATTTGACAGGCAAACAATAAATAAATAAACTAAATCATGGTGAAATGATGCAACAGATAATAAGTGATTCCCATAAAATATTTAGTGAAGTCAAGTCAAGTCAAATGGATTTATATAGCGTTTTTCACAATGCACATTGTTTCAAAGCAGCTTTACAGAAAATCTTGATGTTATAATTTAAAATGTCTTAATATTTTCAAGCCTTATAGTCATATTTTGCAGATTAAAGCCATGCAATAATATATTTTACATTTTTGGACAATATAAACAATTAAGTAGTTGAGATTTGCTATACGCTGTAGTATATACAGTATCACTTTGCATTTTTATTAATATAAATAATTCTGATTTTAAGTTGGAAACTAAAATAACTCAAACTAAATCAACTAAAATCTATATAAAATAAAACTATAAGTATATAAGTGTAATTACAAAATAAACAAAAACTGAAACAAAGAGCAAAAACTAATATTTAAAATACATTAACAAAAACTTTACACAAAAGCTAATAAAAATTACAACAAAATAGACAAAAAAATTACTAAAACTTTAACAAGAAGCAGTTTGAATATTCGCTATTTTAGTGATTTGCATCGACTATTGTTTTGACTGGTTATTAGTATTGTAGGAACCAATGCCAGGGTTATTATCATTAACTAAAACTAAAACCATAAAAGAAATGCATTACTTCAGATAAAATAAACATGAACTGAAATAAAACATTTTTAAAAAGCTGAAATAGTAAAACAACTAAAACTAAATAAAGCATAAAAATGAATAAAAACAATATAGACATATTTTTAAAAAATAACATAAATTTGACAAAAACATGAAAATGACCAAAAAATCCAAAACTAAAATTTATTTCAAAATATTAAAGGGGTCCTATTATGTTATTTTACAAAGTCTTGATTTTGTTTTAGAGGTGTACTAGAACAGTTGTGTTGTGATTGGTTAGCTGAGCCAGTGTGTGCTGTGATTGGTTAGCTGGGCCGGGAAATGTCACGCCCCTTACCATAGCCGCCTGCGAGCTTCAGTGTAAATATTGCGTCAAAATCAAATCAATTTGAGCTCGATTTAAACCCGGATGATTGTAACCACTCTAAGTTCGTCTGCCTTGGGAAAGCTAGCGTGTCTCCGACACAGTGATAACACTCGTTGCCTTCTCTAGTGCAGCTCAACAAGGTCTCCTCCCATTCGTCGATATTTGTGATATCACAAATCCCTGAATATATGCGTTGTAGTCCAAACGAATCGTTCGTTGTAGTTTTTGAAAAGTGATTTCTGTTAAATAAAATATCTCCTTTTGAAGTGGACTTTGAGCTTTGTATGAAAAAGCATAATAGGACCCCTTTAACAAAATCTATAATATTATGTGAATGATAGTAAAATAACACTCATGTTCGCATCTCCCTTGGATCTTACTCTGTCCTCCATCATTCAACACTGACACATATACATCAAAAGTGAGGAAAACAGAAGTGTTGAGGATGTCACTTTAACCCTGTTGACCCTGAATCATCTGAAGCGTCTAGCATGTGTCATTCAAACCGCATTCATCGCTCTATCTGGCCTGTACGCTGTGTTTTCCTCTGGCCTGTAAAGCGCCTGCAGTCGTAATACGGTCAGAATGGGCCGACGTCCAACGCTGGGCAAAAATCCCAGAACTCTCTTGTGAGAGTCACCATATTATTAGCGTCTTAATAGGACAGTGTGTATGTAAGCACGTGCGTTTGTGTGCATTATACTGTACTGAAATGCTGCAATGCAGAGAAATAGGTACAGTATGACACTGCATCTGAACAAATTCACATTTTCTTGCCTAAAATCAGTAAACACACACTCAAAAAAGAGCTGTGCAGGTATAAGACCTGAGAATACAGCTGAGTCACTCACTCTCTGTGACTCACACACACACACACACACACATCCCTCTGACAACACCCCTCAAATCTACCACAAACTCATGTTTAACACCTCGCATTACAAACAACATGCGTGACTCAGTGCTGTGTGTCACCCATGTATGCATGGGTTAAATGCACCATATTATCATCATCACATCATGAGAAACACACACGTCTTCTCCCGAAACAAGAGCTCAGTGACAATCAAAGCTCCATGTTGTTTCCCTGAGAGGCACACTGATAACATGTGACTGTAGCTTCATACACAATGCTGAATCACTTTAATGACACTGTAGAAGTCCCCGATGTGAAGACACAAACACGTGGTCACCGCTAAAGAAAGTGTGCAATAAACAACATTTATTTGGCATTAAATTACTTTGGAGAAGCTTACATGCGTTATATAAAACATACAGAGCAATTAATAATATAATTAAAGATAAATGCATAAATGTAAATGCATATATATTTTATATATAATTTTATTCAAATAATATAACAATACAATGTAATATAATGACATTACATAATTGAAATTGTAGCAATAAATAAATATAAATAACAAATATTTTATACAATATATTTCATAGAATTTAAATATTAATAATGCTAATTATTATTATATTATTTATAAGTTCTGCTATATATTAATATAACTTAACTTACTGTCACATTTATATTATTTTATTTTTTAAAATATAATATAATGCCATTACAAAATACTTAATTAAAAATTTAATAAATAACAAATAGAAATTAAATATAATGTAAATGTAATTAAATATTTCACAAAGCATATTAAAATATTAAATATAATGCTTTATTTATTATATATTATAACTTAACTAACTCATTTTTATTCTACTAATATATAATGACATTACAATATACTTAATTAAAATGCAATAATAAATAACAAATAAAAATTTAAACTAAATATTTCATAAATCATATTAAATGATTTTTTATTAAAAAAAAAACACAATTTATTATATATTATAACTTAATATATATATATATAATTTTATGTTAATAAAATAATAACAAATATAAATTAAACTAAATATTTATATTATATGTTTATTATAACTTTTCTTACTACATTATATAAAACGTTTTTATTTTAATAATGTACCACAAATATAAATAAAAATAAATATTATTTACTAAAAATAAAATAAATAATATTAAAATAAATGTTATTAATGGGGAAAATACATATTATATTTAACTATACTTTTAAAAATTATTATGATTAAAAATATCATATTTTACATACATTTTTTCATAGCACTGTGCTCTGGGCCTTTCACAGCAGGTGCGGCGCTTCGAGCCTCTGTTGTCCAGGTGAGAAGCTCTTACCTGCAGCGCCGCAGTCCGCGCACAGCTCGTTACCGGCTCGCTGCCGTAGATCGCGCAGAAGGCAGCTGCTCCGCTCGGGATCTCTCGCCATGACTCGCCGGAGGAACGGATCGATGCTCTCCGCAGGTTGATGAATGGAGCAGCGATGAAAACGTTCAAATAAGCACCAGATAACTGCAGGCGCGTCTAGTTATGAAGCCCGGGGTTGTATGTCCACTTAGTGATGGGATAGAAATGGGTAAAAAATATAGTCTTTCTCTTCCTCTTTGTGTTTGCGCTCAAGGTTCTAGCGGTGGAGAGAGAGAGAGAGATTCTTTCCTTTCACTCTAGAGAATTTATCAGCGTTTTATCCTCTCGCCTCCCTCCTCATTATACTGCCCAGTGCCCACAAACAGACTGGAAATACAGAGACACCTAGCGGCGGCTTTCAGATCGTAGAAGAACGTCTACATGTCAAACATGTGGCCCGTCTTAATAATAGCTACTATATATATATATATA